TTTATTATTCTCTACATAATTTTTTTTTTGTTTTAAATTTAGTTTTGATAATTTAGATGAAGGTGAAGAGGAAATTTCTCATAGGAATTCAACTCCTCCTCCAAATTACGAAACTGCCATTCTGTTACCCAAATTAACGGAAAACAACGTTCGAGAAGAATCTAGAATTATTTCTAGAAACTCGTTGATTGTCGACAATGAAGTTGTCACACACGTGGAAGAAGATAATTAAAAAGGTACGTTTAAAAATAAATATAATTTTTTCATTTTTTTATATTCTTCTCTTTATTTTATTCGTTTTTCTTCTTCCCAAAGTACTTTCAAAGAGCAGTTTTAAATTTACTTTAAGTAAACCGCACTTCTTTTCTCTCATAATAATAATAATAATGGTAATTAGTTATTTCTATCTTGTTGTAAGGATTCCCAAAAATTAAACTTGAAAAAAAGTTCATTGATCAAAATAATAATAATAATAATAAATAATTTCTTCGATATTCAATTGACCGATTAAAACACTTTGAAACCTTAAAAGGTTTTAAACTCTTTGTAATGATAACAGATAACTTCATTTATTAATTTACACATGTATGTATATAATTCAAGTAGTACTGTTTGTTTGATTTTGATTTTCATTACTATTTGAAAATGATGAATTCTGTTGAGCTTTGCTCAAAAATGCTAAATGACCTTTCGGACATCTATTAGCGTAGTGTCCCTTTAATCCACACTAAAACATTTAAATAAATAATTAATTTATCGAAATTTTTTTTTTTTTTACATTATTACACACTCAAACAAGTTTCAACATGAATTTTACCTTGTAGCAAGTAACTTCATCTAATGGTTTATGGGGTCCCCTAAATGCTCCAGATTTTTTATCATTGTTTGTTCCTCCTTCTATATTTCTCGTTTGAGCAATGATTTGACTCATGTACATTTTTCCAATTTTAGTTTGCATTGTAAATTTCTAAAAATAAAATTTTTTTTTAAAAAAATTATTCATTTATATGCATGAAATATTTATGATGATGATGTTAAAAAAATTACTTTGAAAAATGGTTCATTTTCTATTCTAGCCTGTTCTGCTCTTTGTTCGGGAGTCATTTTTAAACAATACATTGCTTTGTGTCCATATTCGTTACAATAATGACAAACGAGAACGGCTTTGACTTTATTTGTATTTTGGTTAGCATTTTCTGTCGGAGCTGGTAATTCAAATCTTGGACTAAAATTAAACAAAAAGTAAGTACTTGTAATATTGTTAAAGATCAATTTAAAATTAAATAAATAAATAAAACCTACTGCATAAATTTGCAATCTGGACCATCTGGGCAAAAACCAGCCAAATAATTCATACACAAAACTCTTCTAACGTGCCTATGCCTACAATGTGGACCATGTCTACAAAACCCTCTGTCATACCAAGGACAGTCTTTTATTTTACTTTCAGGATCAATATGTAGAAAAGGACATTCCTTATTGTGGCAAGCATCTTAAAATAATTAATAAAGTTTAAATAATTTTATTCACATGATATACAGTGAAAATTTAGTTAGATTTGACAAAATAAACTTCAGTACTTACTAAATCTAGAGTAAAAATAACATTCCGGCATTTTTGTCATATCATATTCGTGAAGAAATTCACACTGATCCCCTTTTTTACATAACCCTCTAAGCCAGTGTTTACAGACAATTGTGCGATCTCCTCTGATATGTCTAAATGGACAAGCAGCTCCCTTATTGCAAGTGCCTTTTGGATAAAACGTACAAACGGCTGCAATGGATTCTGTAAAAAAAAATAAAAAAAATAAAAAAAATTTTTATGCAAATTATCAACTTTACCACATTTTCTACTGGTTTACTATTAAAGGTTCAAAACATTTTATTAAAATTCTTAAAGCTTACTATCCATTCCCGAAAAAGGCAAAGGTAAAGCTCCATATTGTTCTTCAAGAGCTGTTTCAATGTCAAATTTAACACCATCCACGCTAGCTACAATGAGCTCCATAGTAGCCAAAGAAGTAATAATTATGTAAAGTACTCAAAACTACCTCGAGTGTTTATATTCAACAGTAGCCATGTTAGTGTATCTTTACAGTTTGACCAACATTAAAAATTTATTATCATTATTTTACTTGATATTTCCCGCGTTTTCGTATTCAACCGGTTCATTATTCTCATCACCGGCATATAAATAAAACGTTAATCCACTGATTAATAAATTTTGTGATTTATCTTATATTTTTGAAATTACAATTTAAAATAAATTTGTTTTGGAAATTATGGTAAGTAAAAAATATTTTTAATAAAAATTTTTCTTCCATCAACCACGAATACTTATAAATATCGAATTAAATTTTAAGCATATTTTGAAAACCCACATAACTAACATATTTAATAACTAAATTTTTCTTTAAATTTTTATCAATCATAAAAGTGTAATAAATAAATAATAAATTTCATTTTATAAAATTGCATGATTTTTTTTTAAACTAAAAAATTTTTATGTGAAAAATTAATTTTATAAAAAGCATTTTAATTTAACAATGCAATTTGTTTTTTGTAAAAAAAGATACTAAACAAGAATTTTAAAAAGTATCATAATAGTTATAAATAATTTAAAAATTTAATCAATAAGTTATCATAGGAAGATTATGATAGGAAAAATTGTGATAGTGAACAAGGTTAATTATATATATTTTTTTTGATGGATTAAAATAAAATTTATAAAAAAAATTTCTTATCACACAACCTTTGGTATTTTATTTACACTACAAATCTACAATTATATTAAAATCTACAATTACAAAAACTACTTAATGATGTTACAAATTTGGCAAAACATTTATTTATTATTATTTTTTTTTTATGTAACAATTTAGCAAAAATGAGCTTATTATGAAAAAAACGAGTAATCGATTTTAAATAAAAATTTTTCTTTTTTTAAAAAAAATATTACCAGTCTGTTTTTGTTATTTATAAAACAAAATAAATTAACAAACAAAAATTAAAAATTGAAAATATTATGTAAAAATTCTATTTAAACATTATCGTTTAAAAAAAAAAAACTATTGGTCAAATTTTTTTCTCGATAATAACCAACAATTTAAATGAATAAGCCCATGGGCTCGAAAAAAAAAAAATTATTGGAAAATATTTCTTTTGTTTTTTTTTATACATTAATTACAAAAACAATTTTATTAATATGTTCAAATTTATCATGAGATAATTTACAATAATATTATAAATTTTCCTTATTAATTATATAAATGTATTAAAAACAATTAATAAAATTAATGTTATTATTACCTTTTAAAAAAAAGGTTAAAGCTCTTTCTTTTTCTCAATTTTTGTACACTATATTACATAATTAATTATTTATTGTCCAATGTAATTTAAATAACCTACATACTAAACTGAAAAATTTAATTTTATCAAATAACAAATTACATTTTAAATAATATTCCTCGAAACTAAAACTTTTTAAATGTGAAAATATATTCTACTTTAGAGCTACATATATGCTTCATTGTACATTTATTATTATAAAAGCTATTTTGTAATTTAAGCTTTAAAAAAAAAAACATTATTATTATTATTATTCATTTTCAAAATGAGAAAATTTAATACATATATTTTATACAAATTGCTTTTTAAAAGCTTTTATATTATATATATATACACAAATGAATGAATGTTAATTATTTATCAATTCGATAACTGCCATTAAAAGATAAAATTAATAAATCGTTAAAAAAAAAATTAAAAAGTATGCTTGGTCTTTTGCTTATGATTACTTGAAATAAAATTTCACCTTGCTATATTATTAATAATTGTAAAATATTTCTTTTATTTTTTTTGTTGTCGACTAACCTATTTTTTTAAAATTGCTATTTACATAATATTGAAAACGTTTAAGAGTAGGCAGGACCTAAACATGTCCAACACTAAAAATTGCACCCATATATATATTATAATTTTTTTTAGGCAATCATTGCCTTGTTTTTAAAATAATAAATAAAACATAAATTATTATTATTATGTTTTAAAAATAAAATTTTTGTTTTTTTTTTTTTTTCTAAATTTCAACACGATAATACATGTTTGTGATAATAAAGAAGCCATTTTTTAATATGGTATCTGGTAATCCGAGCTCAATTGATACAGTACTTGAAATTCTTTACTTAGTACATGTTTAGCCAAAGAGAAAAGCTTTGAATTGTTTAATTTACTTTTCATGAGTAAATAAATTTTTATAATGGGTCGATCGATGGAACGCCATTGTTTTGCGGTTGTTGTTGTTGTCCTGAGGGGGAATGTTGTGGAAAGTGATTTTGAGGAAAAATATACTGAGGGCTACTGTTGTAATTTGTATTTGAACTTGGAGGTAGTTGTACTTGATTCGGAGAAGTGGAAAGTATACCTGAAAATTGAAACAATAATAATAATAAAAACAAACACAAAAATAATTAATAATTTATAATAATAATAATAATAATAATAAAAATACCTGAAGAAGGAGATGAGCTTAATTTATCATTTGAATTTGTTGTCATTCTTGAAAATGCAAGGAGTGTATCTGGAAAATTAGGAGGAGTAGCTGGAGTATTGCACGGAGTAACCTGTAAAATTTTTTTTAATAATAATTTAAATTATGATTTTTTATAAAATGGTAAAGTTGTAACCACATCTGATTATACTTTTTGTTTAAATTTAATTTTTTTAAAATAAATTTTAACTAAAAACATTGTTTAGTAGGAAATGAAAAAAAAAAAAAATGGTAATGAATTGGATTATTTAATAATATTACCTGACCAATATGAGAATTAGGACCTCGATGACAGCATGGTATGGCTGCTTCTTGAAAAAATATGCTTAAAGCTGTCTGAAATTAAAATAAAAAATTTAAATTATCATAATAATAATTATCTAAGAGATTTACTTAAATTTATATTTCAATATAGAAGAAGTATTGAAATTAATTTGTTTTTTTTTAATACTTTAATTATTAATTTTTTTAAATCAAGTTTCTTGTATTTGTTTATACTTTTTTTTTTTTTACTTTATCAATAAATAATTATTAAAAAATACATAAAATTTGATCATACAGTAATTTAAAAAAAAAAAATTCTTTTTCATAATCGATTTATTAAGAAATCTACAATGTTGTTGTTGTTTTTTTGTAAACAAGGTTGTTTATGAATTACAAAATGAAAATAATTTAATAAAAGTATTATTTAAAAAAATAAAATTAAACATTTTTTTTATTAAAAATAAAATAAAATTAAAGGATGGAAAAAGAAAAGTGAAATATTAAATGATAAAAAAAAAAAAAAAAATTAAAAATAATAACATACCAAAACAAATAATTTGTTTACCAATAACAAATTACCTCAAATTGCCAATGCGCCGCTTGCAAAAGCTGTTTTGCTTGTTCCCTAGCGCATCCAGCGGCTAAAACAAATTGATTTATCATAACCTGCTCTCGCAGAGTATCCATAATTGATATTTTTATTTATTTATTTAATAATTTGTCTTGTAAAAATCAAGAAGAAAAAAAAAAAAAAAAAACAGACGATGATTTTTAATTCAAATATTACTCATCCCCTTGCTCCGGCGAACCCAGATACGAATTACGTCAATCTTTGTTTTTATTGGTTAATATTTATTTGCGACATATTCTCACTGGTTAATCGCCAAACCGGAAATGAAATGTAAAAATAGGTTGTTGGTTTTTTTTTATTTCGTATTTGATAAAAACCATAGACGAAAATTACAAAATTTTTTTATTTTATTTTTAATTTGCGTTATAAATTTTTTCACGATTTACATTTTTTTGTATTTTAAATATATTATTTTCATCATTAAAATGATTCGTTGTAAACTTTTGTATGCATCATTTAAAAGTAAAAAAAATTTTTTTCTTTGATTTGTTCTCTACCACAGACACTGAGTCTAAAAAAAGTAACAATAAAACTCTATGTTCAGATAGAAAAGTATTTGCCATGTAGATAAAACAGTGATTCAGTTTTACAAGTGTACCGTGTAATAAATGAACCGAGCTCAAATTAGTGCAATTTCATTTTGTGATTAGATTTTAATTAAGAAATTATTATTATTATTATCCTAAGAGAGAAAAATGACTGATGTAAATAATTTTGAAAAACCATTTCCTAGCGCTCCGCCACCTTATTCTGCTTATCCAACAGGTATTTTAATTAGAGTTTTACTCTTACACGACATTTAAAAAAAAAATTACGTGTTTCAATTTTAATAATTATCGTGTGTTGCATAATTTAATCAAATAATTACATTTTAATTTTGCTCTTTGTAACAATGATTTCATTCCAAACGAATGTAATTAAATTTTTTAAGTATTGTAGAAGGAAATACATAGATGACTTTTTAATAAATTTTTCTTTTTTTTTTTTTTTTAAATATAAAATATTAAATCGTTTTTACTTACTTTATATAAAAAAGTAACATTCTACCATATTTTAATATATTTATTTCAAAAGTATAATAAAAAAAATAATAATATTATTATTGTAAATAAATTTCTTTAAATTTTGTTACTACCTGTCATGTAATACTATCAAGTAACGACCAGTTTTTAAATTTTAATTTAAAAATTAATATATTGAAATTAATTTTTTAAAATATATATCTAGATAAAATAATTGTAAATTTTGCAATATTATTATTATTATGTTCTTAATTAAATGTGATTTGATAGAAAATTAAATAAATGATTTTATTTTGTCTTTCTTTTTCGTTTCGAAACATGTGTGTTTGACATTATATTATTTCAAAATAAAAATTAAATTTTCATTTATTGTTTGAAAAAGTTAAACAAGTTGTTTTTTTTTTTATCATGAGATGTTAAATTTAAAACTAAGACATTAGAAAAAAAAAAAAAAAAAAAAAAAACAATTCAACAAAATTTAAAACCGATATAAGAAAAAAAATTTTTTTTTTGTAATTTAATCCCTTCATTATTATTTTTAAGATATAAAAATTTTTTTTTAAATGTTATTCATTAATAATAAAAAAAATACTTTTAACAATAATGTAAGAATTTAAATTTAAAATTTATCAAATCATCATGAAAAAAAAAAATCAAATTTTTTTGATGATTTCAATCGTTTATGAGAGTATCAAAGTAATGAATTTTCTTATCGACAATAATATTAATAATAATTTGTATAAAATATCGAGAAAGGACTTGGGAGTATTTTTTTTTTTTTTTGTTTTAAATTTAAAAGATGTGATAATTATGCAAAAATAATAATAATAATAAGTAATTTTTGTTTTGTAATTAGAAGTACAACAGTATGGATTTCAAACTCCTGTAACTCAGCAGCCTAATTACACACCACAACAGTACATTCCTACGCCCACTTTCATTCAACCTAGTCCAGTAAATCAAACAGTAGTTATAATGGGAGGTTGTCCATCTTGTAGGGTAAATATAATATTAGGTTTTAGATATCATTTTATATTGAAATGAAATCAAAAAAAATCAATAAATTAATTTCAGACTGGAACGTTGGAAAGTGATTTTACTTGCTGTGGAATTCTTTGTGCCATTTTTTGTTTTCCTATCGGAATATTATGTTGCTTGTGCATGAAACAGAAAAAATGTAATCAGTGTGGTGCAACTTTTTAATACCAAAGCAATCATCTTACTTTTTTTTTATACATTTAATGTCTGAAGAAATTATTACACTTATTATTATTTATCATTTAAAAAAAAAAAAAAAACAAATTTGACTTCCAGTTTTTATCAGTGCCTTAAATTACAATTTTTTTTTTTTTTTGTTTTTTATTAATGGTTGTCATATTTAAAATATTTTTTGTGCCTTTTTGATCATGTTGAGTAGTATACTTTTAAAATTTTATATTAATTATTATTTTATAATAATGTAATTTAATTAAGTTTAAATATTTGTATTTTTTTTTATTTTACCAATGTTATCAATTTTAGATTAGGATGTAAAGATAAGATAAATAATTTTTAATTATTATTATTTTTTTTTTTTGATAAAATATATATTGATGATATTGCATTATGTTATTATTTTTTTTTAAATTTTTCTTTGTTAAATATTTTTATAAATAAAATGAGTAAGTGTTGCTGTAATTGTAAAATATTTTAATATTTTGAAAATATGGAGTCACAAGTAATAATAATAATAATAATAAAGTTAATAATAAACATTTATAAAATTCAATCACAAGAACCATCCTTCCAACCATCTCTCCATCTTTCATTAACTGTGTTGCAATCGAATAATGGTTTACCTAACCTTAAATTAATTCTATTATGGATTCTACATAACCATTGAGAAAATTCATATTGCGATTCTGTTTTCGGAGGAAATCTTTCAATTCTAAAAGGAAAAAAAAAATAATGTTTTAGTAATTATCACACAATGTGTTGTAATGTGACAATAAAAATTTCATCGTATATTAAATAAAAATAAACATTAAATAAATTATTTATTATGTTCAAATATGTAAAAAAAAAAAAGTATATATTTACTGTTGTTGCAAATCTTCAGCACATACACTACAGGGATAAAAACGAGAAAATAATTTCATAAATTGATGCACGTCGTTTTTTTGTTCATCCGTCGGATTATCAGGATAGTATGCAGCCATGGTATGTAAGAAACCCCAAGTTTGTCTTCCTAACTCATCCTTCGTTAAAGGACAATTGGAATTAGTTATTCCAACACTTTCTTGTGTATTTCCATTCTGAAATATATTAATTATAAAAATATTAAATTATTAAACTGTTATTGGTTGACAGTGAAAAATTTTTTTTAACTATTTAAATAATACCGTTTCTTCTTTTTTCACATTGTTTTTGAGTTTAGCCCATGTTTTAAAATCCGTACAAGCCCGGCAGGGTTTTTCATGTGTTTCTATTACGTTTTCTTTAGGTCCGGCCATTATTTAGCAGACATAATTTCTATTACCACGTCAATTATTCCGTCAAAGTATTTGTTAACTTTAACGAATGGCTGAATTTTTAGCCGAAAATAATCACTGCGGTCAGAATATATTAAGATTAGTTTCTCGTGGTAATGCGATAATTGCTGAAATTTTACGACTTAAAGACTTTATACCACAAATATATAGGTAGAATTAAAAATTTTTATTAATTTACTTACTCGTCACTTACTTGACATAACTTTTTTCAAATGTTTTTTGACAAGTTTTACAAAATTCCTATTTTTTTTTTTTTTTTTTCAAAAATATTTCAGATTAGATTCTAAAGCTGATCAACAAAAATATGGTGACTTGATATTAGATTTTTCTTATTTTAAAAACTTGGAAGGATTTGAACAAAAAGTTGAAAATGATCCAGTGAGTAAAAAACTTGAAATAAGTTCCATTAACTTCTTGTAAATTACATTCACAACCCCAAATTATTTTTTATTTTTTTTCCTATTAGAAATTACAAGATTTGGATGAAGAAATAAGAGAAAACAATTTAGAAATAATAACACGTTTTTATTTAGCTTTTGAAAGCATTCATAAGTATGTTATCGATTTAAATAGATTTTTAGAAGACTTGGATGAAGGCATTTACATTCAACAAACCTTAGAAAGTGTATTGGAATCTGATGAGGGCAAGCAACTTATGGTAGGAATAAAATAATTTAACAAACATTGTTACAAAGCATTTTTTTTTTTTTTTTTTGTCAAATTTAAACAATTTGAAATTAATTTTTTTAGTGTGAAAGTTTATATTTGTATGGAGTTATGCTTTTATTAGTCGATTTGCACATAGATGGCAGTATTAGAGAAAGACTATTAGTATCTTACTATCGCTACAGTGCCCAAAAATCGAATTCAGAAAGCAATATTGATGATGTTTTTAAATTATTATGTTCTACTGGTTTTTCAAGTAGTGGAGGAAATAAAAGACCATCACAATATCCTGAAGATTATTTTAGGTAAATTGTTAAATTTTTAATATTGTGTAAAATGTAGTATTAATTACTAATTTGAATGTAAACTTGAAATATTTTTTAGACGAATACCTATCAATGAAACTTACATAGATATGGTTTTAGGAAGGCTAAGAAGTGATGATATATATCACCAACTCAAAGTTTATGCTCTACCTGAGCACAGAAGTACAGCTCTTGCAAATCAAGCTGCTATGCTTGTCATTTGCTTATTTTTTTCTCCTAAAATTTTGAACAATCAAACAGCTGTCATGAGAGAAATTGTGGATAAATATTTTCCAGATAATTGGGTAGATGCAGTTTTTAGTCGTTCAAACAAAAAATATATGCATTTTAAATTGCTTTAGTTAAAACTAAAAATGTATTAACTCTTTTAGGTGTTGAGTATTTACATGGGAGAAGTCATAAATCTTATCGATGTTTGGGATTCTTATAAAGCAGCAAAATCCGCCTTATCAAATTCTTTGGAAACATCAAATCTATCAAATTATGCCAATAAACACAAAAACAAATTACAGGTATTGTTAATTACTAAATTTTTTTTTGAAATTCAATTTCTATTTAAGAACTTACTGTTAAATTTTTTTGTTTTACAAAAAAAAAAATTAAAATAGAAATTGACTGCATGTATTGAAAAGTTTGTGGAAGAAGGTGCCTTAACAGAAGATCAACTTCTCGATAATTCTCAAAGAGTTATGAACCTAATTAGAGAAGCGAATGTTACTTTGCGATGGCTGATGCTTCATACAGCTCCCCTTTTTCCTGGTTGGTTTTTTTTTATGGTTTAATATTTTTAATATTTTAAATTATATGTACATACTGATTTTAAACTTTCAGTTTCGGAAGGGAGTAAAAAATGTAAACAAATAAGAGATTACATTATTTCCGAAATAAAATTTTCTCCCTTGGATATGTTTCAACTTTTGCTAAACGCAGCGCAATTCGAATTAAAAGTCAAGGATATGTTTAAAGCAGTTAAGTGTTAATAATTATTTCCGTTTTTTTTTTTTTTTTTTAATAATAATAAGTTTTAAATTTAAAATTATTTCATAACAATTAACCATTGAATTTTTAGTTGTTGCTTGAAAAGCAAGATAAGTGGGAATCGTATAAAAAAGAATGTGTCGATCGTATGAATGAATTATCGGATGTATTTTCGGGAACGAAACCTTTGACGAGAATAGAAAAAAATGGTGGGTTTTTTGGTGGATTTGGGTCATTTATGAAAAAAAATGTTTATTTTTAAAATATCATTTAATTTGTTGCACTTATTTATTTTAGAAAAATTACATGCGTGGTTTCAAGATATAGGTAAACAAATTGATTCTTTAAATCACGAAGAAACAAATGCATCTGGAAGAAAAATTGTTCAGTTGATCAGAGCTTTAGAAGAAGTTCAAGGTAAAATATTAAAATTAATAATAATTATTTTAATTTTAAAATTGTTAAACCTCTCAAATTTTTTTTTTTTTTTTTTAGAATTTCACGACCTGGCCAATCAACTTCAAGTTTGTCAATTTTTATTAGAAACTCGTAACATTCTTCATTCAATGTTGAGAAGCATAAATATTAAGGAAGAAGTACCCATTCATCTTCAAGTCATTGCAGATATGAGTTATGCATGGTTAATTATGGATTCGTACACGAAATATATGCAAAAAGGCATAAAAGAAGATCCTTCTCTTGTCGTTAAATTAAGAGCAACATTTTTAAAAGTAAATTTTTTTTTTTTCAATATTTTATCATGTTAATGAATTCATACGAAATCATTTTTTAAATAATAATAATAATAATAAATTTTTTTCCTTTATCAGATGGCTTCAGCTTTAGAAATTCCACTGATGAGAATTAATCAGGCAAGAAGTTCTGATTTAGTTTCCGTTTCCCAATATTATTCGAACGAACTTGTTGCATACGTGAGAAAAGTACTTCATATCATTCCAGAAACAATGTTTCAAATAATGGCAAAAATAGCTCACATTCAAACTTATGAGATTAAGGAAGTGCCAACAAGGTTGGATAAGGATCAGCTTAAGGAATATGCTCAATTGGATCACAGATTTCAGGTTTCACATTTTTATACGCATTTTAAAATATTTTAAGTTGTATACGAAACAACTTTTACATCATACCTTGATGATTTTAGGTTGCCAAATTAACTCACGATGTGTCCGTGTTAACGGATGGGATAACAATGATGAAATCGACTTTGGTAGGAGTCATTAGAATCGATCCCATTCAATTATTGGAGGATGGGATTAGAAAGGAATTGGTTAAACACATGGCTACGGCTTTGAACAATGGACTTTCATTTAATTCTAAAAGCAAGGTAGCATAAAAGTACAATATTATTATTATTATTATCATAAAATGTTTTTTAAAAAAAAAAAACAATTTTTATCTTGTGAAAATTTTATTGCCGTTACTTAAAATAAAAAAAAATTTTTAAGACAAGTGAATTAATTCAAAAACTAGAAACGTTGGGTGACGTCATGGATGGTCACAAAAAATCATTTGAATACATACAAGATTACATTCACATATACGGATTGAAAATTTGGCAAGAAGAATTGACGAGAGTTATCGGGTAAGGTACCCGATTTTATACGTAAAATAAAATATCAAATGGTTGTAATGTATTACATCATTTACTTTTCAGGTATAACGTGGAACAAGAATGTAATAATTTTTTACGAAATAAAATTTCGGACTGGCAAAGCAGGTACCAAAGTAAAACGATACCCATTCCAAAATTTTCTTCCCAAGATTCTTCGTCCGTGAATTTCATGGGAAGACTAGCGAGAGAATTAATTAAAATAACCGATCCAAAGTAAATGATTTTACTTTTTATAAATCTTACGAAACAAAAAAAGGATAGAAGACATTTTGAAAAATATTCAATTATCCCACAGGTGTACAATTTACTTAGAGTCCACCGTTACCTGGTACGATTTGAAAACAAAAACGGAAGTTGTAAATACGAAATCATTTTCGAAAATAACAAAATCCGTTGGAACACAAGGAGTCACGGGATTGGATTGTCTTCTCTCCTTCATGATATCCAGCGAATTGCAAAATTTTTTAGGACAGTTGGAAAAAGTCGTGGTAAAAGATAAATCCGTATTGCAAATATTAGAAGACGCGTCGAAAAATTTTAAAAATAAAAATGACGTCATAAGTAAGTTTATTTAAAATAATTTTTTTTTTTTTTTTGATTCATTTAAACCGAAATTTATTGTTTTTTTTTTTTTTTTTTATTAATTTCAGAAAATGGTAGCAAATATTATTTGAATTACACGTCAAAAATATCGAAAACGTTGACTCAATTATTATTAGATTGGATATTGAAAATCGGTCAAATGCAATTGTTGAGAATTCACATAGCTTACGAATTATCGACATTTTGTAAATTTGAATCCCCGAATTTGTCGTCCGTCATCGAAGCTTTCAACAGGTAAAAAAAAAAAAACCAAAAAAAAAAAAAAATAATAATAATGATAATAATTTTCTGGAGATTTTTTTTTTCCATTGGATTTATTTTTCGCAGAGCTTTGCTGTCGGACGTGAGGAAACATTTTAGAGATCCATCCATGCCTTATCCGAGCGAAGACAGTTTACTTTTTCCAAATATTTCTTCTCAATTAGACGCCGTCGGATTAAGCGATCCAACAATGAAAATATACGTGACGACGAAAAATATAAATCATTTTCCACTCCTCATATTTTTATTCTCTCTCTCTCAATTGCATAAACTTCAATATTCGAAAACAGTCGGTGAGAGAAAGATTTAAAAGTGGATCCCGATGAAACGTGTAAAGCGGATCGATCCCCCCGGATTAAATTTTTCGTTGTATTTTCGTCACAGGTACTTTACTATCTAAAAAACCTACTACGGATCCATTGGATGGAATTTCATTCGCGATGGGTTTGCAAACTCTTTTCCGTCAATTTCATTCCGATGCGAAACAAGAATTTCTAAGTTATTTCGGACAATATCTCAAATCCGTCGTCGTTGAAAATTGTCAAAAGTAAGATTAAGGAAACTGCTTTGCTTTGCTATAAAATAAAATTAATCGTTTATTATTATTATTATTATTATTATCGTTACTAATGAATGAATGAATTTAAATTTTTTGCAGGGTCAAATACGAAGCATCCGATGAGATTTTAACCGGGATTTATTTTGCAGAATCATTCGTGAGATTATCGAGATTACCGAAAGAAATATTGGACGAGTACGTACCCAAAGTCGTTTTAGATCTTTATCCTTTGGTTTATTAGTGAAAACCTAGCACCAGGTATGAATACCTTAAATTATTCAAAATTTTAAAACAATTAAATTGGAATTTTTTCCTTTGGAAAAAAAAAAAAAAAAAGGTAGGAGACGATCTTTACATTCGATTTAATAATTTTTTAATTAATGGAATTTTATATTTTTTAAAAAAATTTTCCAAATCTAGTCTCTCAAAATATTTATTATTATTATTATTATTTTGTGTTTATTAAAATGGTGCAATTTTTATAATTATTTTAATCAGAAAATCATTTTATTGATTCGCGCGTAAAAGTTTAATTAAAAAGTGATAAAAAAAAAAATAAATAAATAAATAATTGGTTTCGAAATTCAACTCGTTTTCCTTTTAGTTCTCCTCCTCCTCCTCCTTGATTTTTCATCACATTTAGGATGTATCACGTGACATTCTTTATCTCCTAAACCCATAACGGCGGCTTTTATATATTTTAAATTATTCGAAAACGTCGCGGAATTATTTGATCTTGACAATCTGTTTCCTATCCAGCTTATACCGAAACTGTAACGAAAAAAACAAATTTAATTATTATTATTATTATTATTGAAATCAACCATCTTGTTTTTTTTTTTTGTACTACCTCCAAATGGGCAACCATATTTTTTGAGATCCCGAAAGCGTTTTAGAATATTTAACGTTTTGACATAAAGATCTTTGAAAACATTCACCGTCGTCTGTTTTCATCAGAGCAAGAGTTTCGATAGAAAGTAAAACTTTGCTAGAAATTATATTTAAAATTTCTATTTGCTTTGTGTTATCGTCACGATCGACGTCGCCGTCATTAAAAAATAAACTTCTAGTCTTTCTAGAAAAACTCAATGGAGTCGTTTCGTCAATTTTAGATGCGGCACCTGTGTTATCTGAATTTGTAGGCACCAATACGTAGTCGGTGTCCGAACCCTAAAAAAAATAATTATATATGATTGGTTTGGTGGTGGGGGGTAGGGGGGAAGGGAGGAGGGGGAAAGACAACTTACTGGAATTTCCAATAAACTCATCAAAACTTCTATCATGAAAGTAGCAAATGCAAGAAATGCAATGGCCGTCAATGCAAAATGAAATAATTCTTTTAATTTTAATCCTTTTTCTTCGTCTTCTTTTTCATCTTCGTGATCGTGATGATAGTGAGGATGATAATGAGAATCGTCGTGATATCCAACGTAATGATGCTCTGAAATAATAATAATAATTAAAAGAAAAGTCGATTTTAATTAATAAGTAATAATTTAATAACAAACCAGGTTCGTGTTCTATAGGTTTTGCATATATGTGTTTGGAATCAACCAAAGCATATCCTGTCACACCACCACCACCATCATCGTGTTCAACATCTCCATGTCCAGTAGATCCTTCCTCAGAGTGTTCAAATTGATTATAAATATCTTCCAACGTGCTTGACCTTGTGATAATATTTTTACATTTATAAAATTTTTTTCACTTGGTAAAAGAAATAAAATTTTATTTTTACCTTGAAAGCCAATCTTGATATTTTCTAGAACCTGGATCAGAGAGAAGGGATTCTCTGGCAAGTCGTTTTTGTAGTCTAGGATATTTACCATTTCTTTTACTCATATCACTTTTGATTAAACTTAAATTTTTATAACCTTCGATTATTTCATTTGCGATGTAATTTTTGCACAAATATTCATTCATTTTATTCCTGTGATAATTCATTATTTTCAAAGCGTTATCCCAAAATGCAAAATTGTGACGAGTTTCGTTTCCATATGAAAAATATACGTTTGGATTATTCCCTACACAAATAATACACATAAAATCAATAAAAAATATTATGAAAAATAAAAACTTTAATATATTTTTTTCCAAAATCATTTTTGAATAAAACTTTTTCGTCGTCTTCTGCTAGTTATCTTTTAATAAGAAGTTGCCGGAGTCGGGTGTAAAAACTCTATTAGTCTATATTAGTTTTCTTCTTTGTTGCTCATGCAAAAAATGCGGTAAAATCTAGAAAAGCATCAAATTAAAAATTACCGTTAATTATTTTATTCGTCACAAAGAATAATTGCAAAAGAGACAATTACTTTTTAAGTCTCGCAAAAAAAAAAAAAAAAAAAAAAAAACTATTAAAAAGACAATTTTTTTTTTCTCTCTAATATTTAAAATAAGAACAACCGTACGTGTTAAAATGTCTAAGTTTTTTTCGCGCTTTATTTCGTGTACAGTGTTGCCAAATAAAACCTCACCGCCTTTTTTAAAAAAAAAATGTTGGAGAACTGCAAAACGGTAATTTCGTTAATAGTAAACAAAGTAGTGTTACAATTTTTTTTTTTTTTGAAATATTTTTCTATTTTCAAATGTAGTTATTAACTGTTAAATAGTTTTAATTAATAAATTATAAACATTTAGTGATTTTTTTCCAAGTCTCAGGGGTAAGTATTTATGTTTTCGTATTTTATTTTGTTTTAGTTTTAATTGAGGATTACTTGGTCAATGCATCCAATTACGAAATTGAAAACTGGTTTAATTGGTTGAAAAAATAGGCTCTCTAAGGGATATACGTCAGTTTTAATTATAAACGTGTAGTATATCATATGTAAACTGTTAAAACATTGGTTTTAAACACTAACAGTAGTTGATTTTTAGTTTATTCGTCGGGATAAAATCTTTAATTTTACGAAGATTAATAATTATTAACTAATTTTAAAATGAAAAAATTTTGTGATGACTCATTGCAATCGGCTTCGTATTTTTTAACACTAGTTACTTTATATGATTGTTAAACTGTCGTTAAAAATGGATGAATCCGGAATTTATCTGAATTATGATCTTCAAGAAAGTAATTTAGACTTTTTAACTTCTGATGTGTCAGATAATGATGCAGGACGTTCGTCCATTGAAATGCAAAATTTTGATTATTATGAATTACAATCTAAAACTGTGCCTTTATCAACGTCCATTGGCGCATCTTCGACCATAAAAATTGCACCTGTTAAATCAAGAACACAATTTAAACAAATTCTCATGTGGAGTCAAGAATTTTTAGAACAGCAAAAAGAACAGGATAAGAAAAAAAATGATGATGTTACAAAAGTAAATAAACCCATTTCGAATCCAGTTTCTGTTCCTCGAAATATTCAAAGTTTGAAAGTTCCTTCTCATGTTTTACAAGTGACTACTAAATTACAACATCCTACAAAATATCATATCAAAGCTAAACAGGAAAATCAAGTGTGGCAATATTTAAATTCTGCTCAACCTGAAAATGTTTTTATGAGAAAAAGTGGAGTTCAAAGTGAGCCGATTACTCAGGAACCTAAAGCCAAATCTAAACTGGAATATAATTCTGTTACTTGTCCAACCTTGCCATCTCCTGAAATTCTTTCGCCTAGTGCCTCCAGAGCATCAGTGACAACCAGCACTGGTACATCTGATACAGAAGATTTATATGAAACAGTTTTAGCTCTTGAAGCAGAAAAAAATGATTCAGCTTGTAAATCTCAAAACTTTTATGGATCATACCTTTCTGTTGACTCCTCGATAAAAAATTCTAACAATGATTCAAGCCCATCTAATAATTTTAAAGTAAAATCATCAAGCTATGGTGAAATTGATCCTAAAGACAGACTTAAAAAAGACAATCACAATATGATAGAAAGAAGAAGGAGATATAATATAAATGATAGAATTAAAGAATTGGCAGATTTATTACCGAAAACAAATGATCCTCATTATGATTTAGTAAGAGATAATAGACAAAATAAAGGTGCCATACTTAAATCATCTGTAGATTATATAAAACTATTGAAAAAAGATAATAATAGATTAAAAGAAATAGAATTTGATAACAAACAATTGCAATCACAAAGTAAAAAACTTCTTTTAAGGATTCAAGAATTAGAAAAACAAGCAAGGGAAAATGGTTTACCCATAGAAAACTCAGTGTGGAAAGTGGTTAGCCATAAAGATTTGATAAATAATTTTATGAAAGATGACACACAATCGAAATATTTTTTTCAATGTAACACCACCGATCAAGAGACTGAAAACACCAAAAATAAAAAAGTTGGCGATTGCAACGATAATGATAAAGAAATGATGGTGACTTCTCCAACCTATCAAAAACTATTCACATCTAATTTATCAGAATGTACAGATGAATTTTTAAATGTCAATACTGAATCTGATTTTGAGATGAGCGATGCATATGTTCATAGCAGTAACAACAATAATGATAGCCTCAGCAACACCAAAAACAATAATAATATTTTGTGAAAAAAATTAAATATCAAATAGTTTTTACTGTAGGGGCAATAAACGCTAAAAATTATCGCCCCCAAGACGCTTTATTCTTAAGTTTTTACTATTCTAAAATTTTTATTTAGACAAATAATAATTTTCATATTTAATATCATTGTATCAGTTCTAAAATATGAAATAGCGATATTCATTTGTGATGGGTGAAATAAAAAATTTTTTTACAATTACATTTATCATGAAATGGAATCAGTATTTTTTATACTTATAGATTATTTTATCAACAAGCTTTCAGTGTCATTTTCACAATATTATTCTGTGTGACTCAGTGAATATAAAAATAGTTCATCAAAATATAATTATAATTGTAAGTAGTTTTGATTTTATTACCGAATAACTTTTACATCGAAAAAAAACATTCATCAGGCTTATTTTTTAAAACCGATACCTCAAGAAAAGTGTATATAATTAAAGGTTACAAATATTTTATTTTCATTTTTACCATGCAACACCATATGCAATTTGATATTTTTTAAAAAGTTATTTTTTATCTTTTGGAAATTTTTAAAAATCTAATTTATTTTTCTTATGCTTGTGACTACTGCGACTGGTTAAATTTAAAATATTAAATAACAAAGAAATAATTGATTACATCATTTCGTTCGTCTTTTTAAAAAAAAAAAAACAATTTTACAAGTATTGAATTAAACCTGATGGAAAACAAACGTTTTTTTCTTTCGTTAATTATGATAATTTTAATGTTTCGGTGAAGGGCAAAGTGGCATTAGATAATTTTAACGAGTTGCAAAATGGGTTGGTACTCGTAAGGAGAGTGCGACGACACACATGAATATTTTTTCTTTTTTTTTTTTTTTTTTGGTAAAAGCATGACTTTTTTCGTTACGATTTAAGGGCAGAGAGGAATCGATGTGTAAAAAATAAAATATTTATATATATAGATACGTGCGAATTTTGTTTTGCCAAGTTCACGGTTGCCAGAAGGAGTCGTGTATCAAATCTATTTGTTTTACTCATTGTAATTGACAATGATTGTTTCAAATTCGTAACGGTTTTACCGTTTAAAAAAAAAGACTCCTTAATAACAACCCGATGGAAATTTTCAATTTGTTTTCGTTATTTTTGGTCACTTGCATCCCTCTCTCTCCCCCTTCTTTTTTTTTAAAGGTTTTTACGGTGATTTTTCATGTTTTCAGATGAACGAAACGAAAATGTCTGAAAGAATAATAGCGCACAGTTTAAATGAAAAACCGAGAACGGATGACGTCATATTAGATGATGAAATTTATTTTAAAGATCTTCTCCTTTCGGATTTGACTTTCAAAGGTCTCGAATCGTGCGGGTTCAGAAAACCTTCTCCGGTTCAAAGGAAAGCAATACCGCTCGGAAGATGCGGTTTCGGTCAGTTGGTTTATTTATTTATTTTTTATTAAGTTATCGCCGATGGAGACGATTCAAAGCTTTGACGTTATTTCCTTTCATTTTTAGATCTCATAGTACAGGCGAAATCTGGAACTGGAAAAACTTGCGTTTTCACAATCGTCGCACTGGAAATGATGGATTCCGATTCGGATAATTTGCAAGTTTTGATTTTGAGTCCCACGAGAGAAATTTCCGTTCAGATAAAAGACGTACGAAGTTGTTGTTGTTATTATTATTATTAATATTATTATTAATATCGACTCATCATCGTCGATATCACCTCTTTTCCCACTTTTTTCTTCATTTAAACCCCCTTGCCCCCACGAGGAGGAGGGGGGGAGAGGGTGTTTGCGACGTCGTTTTATGTTGTTTTCCAGGTGATATCGGCCATTGGTAAAAATTTCAAAAATTTAAAAGTTTCCGCTTTCATAGGAGGCATGCCTCTCGTCACGGATAAGAAAAATATAAAAAAATGTCAAATAGCCGTCGGCGCACCAGGAAGAGTCAAACACCTCATCGAAGAAGGTTCGATGAAAGTCGATTCCATCAGGTTGTTTGTTTTAGACGAAGCCGATAAACTCATGGAGGAAAGTTTCAGGAATGATATTAGGTACGGAATTTTTCGAAGCGGTAACAAACGAGGCTTTGCCACCTCCGTGACTAATTTTTTGTTTTTTTTTCTCCCCAATTCAAAGATAAAAGAGCGTGCGCGTGTACCTGAATTTGAATTTAAATAAAAAAACGTAGCCACGTGATCGACGATTATTGATAACGCTTATCAAACAAAAGGAAAAAAAAGGAAAAGAAAATTCGGGAAAAAGGATTAGTCGTTAATTATTGGTTATTATTTCAAATTTTATTTTTATTTTTTACATGCGGCATTAATAATAATAATAATAATAATAATAATAATAATAATAATGACGCAATCGCGGTTCTTATATTCGAATAATGTTGCTGTAGGTTCGGAAAATCGATTTCGTAATTAGTAATTTGTAAAAAAAATTTTTTATTTTGCGTTTCTTCAAGCGGTGTAGAATAACAGTTTAATTTTTTTTTTTTTTAGTTTAATTACCGTGGAGAAAAAGGAGGGAAAAAAAAAAAATAATAATAATAATTTTTTCGCGAAACAAAACCGCGTGTGATGGTTTGTCACGCCTAATAAATATTTATTTTTATTTTCGTGTTAATTTTTGAATTAACGGTCGAAAGGAAAATGACAACGTCACGTCATAAACGTCATAAACGAATACCAAAATGAAGAGAATTGAGTCAAAATGTCAGAGAATGATGATTTGTTTTCTTATATATTTTTTATTTTCTATTTCGAATTCACATTTTATTTTTAAATTTTAACGTGGGCAGCCAAAAAAAAAAGAAAGAAATATTTTACAACAAGAGTTATTAGTGGTTTTGTTGACGATCCTTTGTTGTCGTAAATACCTTAAAAGGTTTTCATACCGTCGATTTGTAAAAGAGCCAAAAAAATTAAATAAAAATGGCGAACGAGGAATATACGGAAAATTTGAAAAAAAAAAAAAAAAAAAAAATTTTTTTTCTTTATTATTATTTACGACAGGGAAGGTCGCGAATAAATTGGAATCCATTCAATTAAATTTGCCAAAAAATTTTGCTGTTAAAAAAAAAAGAAAAAAGAAAAAGCATCAGAGGAGTAATTATAATCCTTTTGTTTAAACAACAGCAAAACGAATTTTTTTATTTTTTTACTGGGAGGGGGTAGGAGGTGGAGGAAGAGAGGGAGGGGCTTTAAAAAAAAAAAAGTTTTTTCTATTTTTAAAAAATTTTTTTTTTCTAAAGAAAATATTTAACGTGTGGATTTTTTTTTCTTTATTTTTAGCTTTATTTATTTGCAACTGCCAAAGGAAAAACAAATGATAGCAACGAGCGCGACTTTTCCACCCGCGCTAAATGAATTCGTCACTCGTTTCATGATAAGTCCGATAAGGATCAGCGTGGGTGACGTTTTTCTAAAAGGTATACGACAGTTCGTATCGATAATACCTCATCATCTCAACCTTTTGAACAAGATTCAGAATAAGGTATCGGAGGTCGTAAGGATACTGGATAAAGTGTCATTCAAACAATGTTTGATATTTTCCAATTATCAAAGCCGGTACTTTTTCCATTTCTTTTTTATTTTCCTTTGAAATTATGTTTTGTTTATTTTTTTTTTTTTGTAAAGCGTTTGAAAAACAAGGGGGTAGGGGGGGGGGAAACTGGCTTCACGAAAACAATTCGAGTAAAATTTATTTTGTTGTTGTATTTTATGTTGATGATTACACAGAGCGGAAAGCCTTTGCACTCAATTGAAACAAAAGGGTTGGGAAACGGTTTGCATCAGCGGTTCACAAAGTCAAACGTCACGATTGAAAACAATAGAATGCCTGAAAGAATTTCGTTGTCGGATTTTGGTGTCGACGGATTTGACGTCGAGAGGAATCGATGCGGAAAATGTTAATTTGATAATAAATTTGGATTTGCCATACGACGGTTCGACTTACATGCACAGAATAGGGAGAGCCGGGCGTTTTGGAACTCAGGGCGTAGCCGTGACGATCGTTCAAAACGGTTCGGAATGCCAAGAATTTCAAAAAATGCTCTATCAAATCGGCGGACGAAATTTTTCCGTTTTCATTTTCCCAAAAGAGGGAGACGACGTTTTGGAAAATTTGAACAAGGCAAAAGATAAAAATTTCAAAAAACTCGAGAGTCTAGAGGGAGAATACAAATTTATTTCTCTGAATAAGAAAATTTTCGAAGAGACGACGAAAAAGGGAGATGGAGGCCGGAGTGAAAATTTGAAGGAAGACAAAAATGAAACCCAAACGGAAACAAAAATGTCGAATTCAAACGAAGATGTATCGAACCTGATTAATTTTTGTTTTAAAACCTTTCTCGTCGTCGACGACAAACCTAAACTCAGGAACATTAACGAATTAAAGGAAAGCAAAGAAAAGTATTTAGCTCAAGAAAAAGATAAAGAAATGAGAAATGATACCGAGGATGTTGTTGTGAAAAACGTGTCACAAGATCACGTGGATTTGTTTCATTCGTGTTATTTGAGTAATTGGAAAAAATACGAAAAAGATTTGGAAAGTAATTTAATGTCGAAGAACGAGACGGAAAAAGAAAATATATCGACGAAGAATGACGAAGAAGAATGTAAAAAAGAAAAGGAAAATAGAAAAGAAGAATGGGAAGTGGTAGAAAACGACGACGATGACGACGAGGACGAGGACGACAGCGTCGACAGTGTCGATGAAAATATTAACGACGAGAATTTTATCATCGCGAGAACATGCGGAAACGGAAACGAAAACGTCTCCGAGGAAAATGATAAAGAAATCGATGATTTCCTCGATAATGATGAATTAAATATTATAAAGGAAAATGTTGAGAAATGCATGAGAAGAATCGATGATGGATTCACTCAACTGTGGTACAAAGAATTTTATCGGCAAGCGTTCGCCATTCAAGATTACGTTAATTATTTTAAAAATTTTCAAATTTAACTTTTTTTAAAAAATGTATTTAATAAAAAAGCGGAGAAGGACGTCGGCAATCTTCGTGATCGATCGTGATAATAATAATAAGTCGTTGCAGTAAATGTATTCACTATGTGATTATTTCACGTTTAAAAAAAAAAGCCAAATTTTTTTTTTTTTCTTTGTTAATTTATTTATTTTTTGAATTGAATACAAGTATGCGTGTTATTTTGTTAATATTTCAGAATTGTTATCATTTTTTTCTGTCCCTTATCAGAATCCTTGTTATCATTTAAATTAATTTTTGTTTTTTTTTTATTGGTAAAAGTTCTGGTGAGTATTTTTGTAATATTTGGAAGAGGGAATTTTAAACGAAACCAAAAAAATTATTACTGTTAATTGTTATTATTATCATTATTATTATTATAATTTGTATACATTGGTTATGTACAGGTATGTGCATATTTAAATTGTAATATTTTTACAAAATAAGGTACATACATACATACATTTACTTATAATTATTCATCTTCATATTCGTGTATGTGATTCAAAAAAATTTCTTTTCCCTTTTCGACATTATCATTTTTTTTATTGATTTTTTTACATTGTTTTTTATTTTGACCAACAACATATTCAGCCATGACGAATTTGGTTCCTTTAAAAACGGATTTAGGTGTTTCACTAGAGTTTTCGAGTGTTGGTTCACAATCTTTTTTGATTTCACGTTTTATGGTGGGGAGATTAAACAAATGACCATTTGTACAAACAGGTTTGGATTTGCAATCATTCGAATCATCAACTTCCATTTTAACGCGAGTTTTTAATTTTTGAATTTCAATATCACGAAGAAATGACATAGCAGCAGCAGTATTTGTTTCGTTTGACATTTCATTTTGAGTAACGTCTCCTAAACTGTATTTTGTCCACTTGTGCGGATTCCTTTGAAAATCGGGAACTTTATTCCTTTTTTTAAATCTAGGTGGTAAACTTAACGGTTTGTTAAATAAACTTTCCTGTCCTCTAAATTGTTTTGTGATTTTTCTTTGTCGCCTACTACTCGATTTGTTTACATCGATATCCATTGAATCATTGCACGAATTATCACAAGATTTTTTTTCTTTTTCAGCCGAATCCAGGATATCGAATAAATTTCTTTGCTTATTTAAAAAATCCGAACTTCCATTTTTTATATAAAATGACGGAACTGCCATTTTAACTTTAATAAATAAATAAATAATCGTTTAAAAATACGTTTAGTTGATTTACATTTGTTATGTTATTCACTCTTAGAGAAACATGTTTCACGCATAAAAATGAAAACGTTTAGACAACCTTTGAAAATGAAATTTACAAGCGTTGCCAACTTTATTTTCTTTATTCTATTTGCCGCCGCAGTGTTTCGAACCGGGCAAAAGTGTTTTACATGGATAAAATAAAAAAGTGTTGTAATAATAGTTTTTTAATAATAATTTTGTAAATTTACTAAACAAAAAGAAAGTTATAAAAGTGTAGTGTGTGTGTGTGTGTGTTTGTGTGGATAAAAACCATTGTTAATTTTAATTACTCCGAGTTTAATAACGAATCGTCAAATGTAATTTCGATGTGACGCCATCATAGTAGTAAAAAACCGTTAAATTTAAATTTCGTTCGAATGTCTTCTCTTTGTGAAACAAAAATTGCGTTCTCTTCATTTTCTTAATGGATAAAATAATAATTAATAAGTAATAATGATCAAGATTCACTCTTTGTCTTACGGTAAGATTTATTTTTGAATATATATACATAAAAATTGTCGTAATTAATCAACAGAAAAAAAAACCAATGGAAAGGAAAGGATTAAAAAAAATTGTGTAAAATTTAAAAAAAGAAAAAAATTTATTATTACATAAAAAAAATCATTCTTTCTTACAAATATTATTAATTAATTAATTACGGCACAAAAGGCGATAGAGATAATTTTTTTTTTACATTTCATCAAATGAAACGTTATTAAAAAAAAAACCGTTAAAAGCGTTTTGTTTGTTTCACAATGGCATACAAGTACTTTCATAAGTTAAATTTACATAACTTATTATTATTATTATTTCTTTAAATTTAAATTTCCCGCGTCTCTCTCTTCGTATTTCCTCCCCTCTACCCCCACCACTTAACAAATTCTTTACCTTTTCCCAAATAATAATAATAATAATTTAACGCGTACGTGATGATGGTGGACAACACCTGGATTCAAAATGGACAATAACTAACAAAAAAAAAAAAAAGGGAAAAATTACCTCCTGCCTTTTCGCAGGTACGTAGGAATGCAAGGGAAGGGAAGGAAGAGGGAAGAAGGGGGAGGAAAAGAGGGCAAAGAATTTTTATTTAAAATAGGTTATATCTTCATATACACCCACAACCCCTTTCAACGGTCATTTCGCATAAAAATTTCAAATTTTATATATGACATAACGCTTATATTTAACTTATGAAAGTTACAATTTTTTTTCTCTAAAGGGTCATCGAATACAAAAACCCCATTAAAAAAAAAAAAAATTACAATTTAAAATCGACCACGAGATATGAAAAATTTTTTACATTAAAAAATTTATTTATTTATATTTTTATGTACATAAATTAATAATAATAATAATAATAATAATAATAATAGTTAGGACCGGCCTCTTAAAATCGTCAAATTTATTTCCGAGAAAAAAAAATTATTTATTTATTTAAATTCATTCATTTAATTAATAATAAAAAATAAAATTTTATTAATCGTAATAATTAATAAATAATCATCATTAATAAATAATTTATTTATTAAAAAAATACACGTTCGCAACAAACAATTAATCAACACGTTTATATATTTATATATTTATTTATTTAATAAATGACGCGAAATAAAATTTTTTTTTTATTATAGAAAGAAATAAATTTTTGTAACAAATTTTTATAAAAAAGGGTTTCGATATCGGGGGGAGGGAGGGATGGAAATTTTAAGGGTGGATAAAGTGATTTAAGGGTTGGACACACGTTCGGACGTTTATTTTATAAAAACACGCAAATATATATCTAAAAACGGTAACTCATTTAACGTATATATAAGAATTTATTGACTCGCGCATTCCCGTTCGGACATCCATAAGATAAACATTTAAAATAAATCAATGGCAACCAAATTTTATGTTTTATAAATCAATCAATCAATAATTATCGATAACGTGAATTTAATGATAAATTTCGCGATTTCCGGAAAATTCGAAACGAAATAAAATTATTTACGGTCGAAATGTGCAACAAATGATTAAATTGATCGATTTTTTCGATTGACCGTTTAAGGTTTTATCGATAAGGACAACAACAACAACAACGACAACGACAACCGTTTACACATTAAATCGATTAAAATTTTTAGCAAAATGTGCAAAAAAAAAAAAAAAAACGTTATCAATGCATTTTTTAATCGTTTTTCTCCCCGATTCGTACATCCGGTGACATTTTGTTTTTTTTTTCCTTTTTCTCTGCGTTTCACCGCGAGATTCAAATTTGAAAAAATTTCGTTTACGTTCGAAGCAGACGATAAGAGGCTCTTTTGACTAGATATCGATCGTTTAAGATAAAATCTTTTTTCTTCTATTTTCTAAACTCTTCACATACATAAAAAGAAACCTGACAATAATGTGAAAAAAAAAAAATTTTTTTTCAGGTACTTTATATTTTGCGTTTCAATGATCGATTATTCTCCTCCTCCTCTTTTTTTTCCTTCTTCCCCTCTTCTTCTCTCCACTTCCCTTTCCTCTCACATTCTTTCAATCGAACAAACAAACGAGAATATCGACCATAAATTCAGGAAAACATTTTGTGCATGATTTTTCATTATCGTCGAACGTCGATGCTTTCATAATTTTCCCTTTTCCGTTCGTAGTTTTATTTTTATTTTTTTTAAATAATAATTTCGAATGACTTTTTTTAACGTTTTTCTCTTTTACCTTTTCCGTTTCGATACCGCATGACCTTTGACTCAGAGTCACGCTATCGTTTTCGTTGTAAATCCTTTTCCTGCATATTTTTTTCATGTGATTTTTCCAATTTTCCGGTATACGACCGGTATTATTATTGTTGTTTTTACATTTGTTCGATATCAAACTCGAAAAAATTGTTAGCTCTTGTTGATCCAACCAACCGTTTTGTATGGGACCCAATAAGAATTCGTCGGATGTGAAAAATGGAAAACGTATTTCGTAAATTAAATCGTTTAAAACGAATCGTCGATTTTTCAAATTTAAATTTAATTTTCTTCTTTTACATTCTCGATTTGCCCACCTATCGAGTGCTAAAAAAACAACGTATTCCGATTTTATTTTCAACGTGTCTCGTTTGATTATTTCTTTAAGATTTTCCGACGATAAATCTTCTATTCCCTCCTGTACCAAAACTTGATCCGCATTTTCATCGATGTACTGAAGACAATTGTGAACTAATGCTTCCGACCAATAGGGTATCGAATTACCATTTTGTTCATTGACTTTCGGACAAACGACGTCCTCGTTGTTGTTGTTGTTGTTGTTATTCGACTGCGAATAACAATGGAGATCACATATTTCAGTCGATGCTTCCGGTGCCGAGGGTTCGAACGCCGTTTTATCATCACGAACGGCGTAGAGCCTCGCATGAGTATAAATTTCTAAAACGTTTTTCTCGTTCATATTTTCATCTAAATATTTAACGCAAACTTGTATTAATCCGGAACATAAATATTTATGTGCGGCGTATAAAATGTTCAAAGCCGTAGACGCAGATTGAATATTAACTTCTTTCCCGTATAAATACCTGAAATTTTACCAAAGTTATTTATTTTCCGTTACGAAACGAGAGAAAAAAAAAACCATTTTTTTTTTTTTTACCTTAATAGATAATCGAAAGCTCTCCCTTCGACATCTTCAATAACGATTATGTTATCGCGAGTTGCCAACGGACCATCTAACAACGCCCGAAAAACGACATTTGTCTCTGATAATATTTTCTTATGACCTGGTATTCTCCAGACGTCGGGTTCTATCCCTACTAAAAATACAACGTCGCTATCTTGTTCGTTATCGTAAAGAAAATCCACCCTGGAAAATTTATTAATTAATTACGTCACGTACAACTCCTCGCGTTTTTTTTTCGATCGAACGAAAACAAACAAAAATTATTATTATTATTATCATTACCTTTTAAGAGTCGATTTTGTTTTGTTGCAAACATTTAAATCCTCGCAATGACACATGTTCACATGTTTTTCTTTTTTTTTTTTTTTGTAAAATTGAAAGAAAAATTAATCTGGAAAAAATAATTCGTATTTTATAAAAAACATTTTTTATTACGTTAAAAAACAAACACAAACAAAATAATTAAACGACGGTAAAGTACACCAACAACAACAACCGGACACACAACAAGTACCTGCCTACTCCGATCTATATTTTTTTTTTTTATTAAAAAAGGTTTAAGAACGACTGACTATGAAAGAATTATTAAATTTTAGGAAAAGGAATAAAGAAAAAAAAAAAAAAGGTTTCGTTATGTTGTTCGATCGACCAACCAATGAGAAAAAAAAACCACTTGTTTATTAAATCTTTTCCCCTTATTTTCAATTAGATAAAATTATGTTGTTGTTGTTTGTATACACACGTGGTTTACCCCCTTAAAACCGCCATTACAATATTTTATTACGGACTTTTATAAAATAATAATAATATTAACTTTTATTTTATTTATTTATTTTTTTTTTTATTAAGGAAAAATTTTTTTTAACGAGATATTTTACCTATCGTTATTATTATTATTATTATTTTTGTAATAAAAATACGTTGGTATAAGTTTGTGTGTGCGCGTGTTTTTCTTCCCTTTCCCCCTTTCGAAAAGAATCAATAATACATAATAATAATAATTATAATAAAATTTTATTTTTTTATATAAATTTTCCAAGGCACTAAATGCGAATTGAAGGGGGGAGGGGAGAAAAAAATAAAAAAATAAAATAAATTCCGACGGTTGTTAGTAAGAAGTAAATATTGTTTGTTGCAAACATAAAAAAGGACGAATTGAAAATTTTTGATAAAAAATTTTTTATTTTTCCTACAGGAACTTCCTTTTCGTTATGATAAGGTGAAGTTTAAAAAACCCACATTTGTAGGCTTAAATGGACCTTGACGATTCTAGGCCGAAATAAAATTTTTTTTTTTTTAACAAGAAATTTTGTCTTGGCATTGAATGACAACCGGGTTGTCGTGTTTGTTTGTTTGTTGTTTGTTGTTTGTCTCTCTTGAAATGCATTCGACGATTTTCTTTTTTTTCCCCTCCTCTCCTCCTCCTTCTTTATCTTATTTTTTTTAAACGATCGATGGTAAATTCAAATAACATAAATTCGTACAACCCAGTATAAGTAATTTAAAAAAAAAAAACAAAATGGCATCCTTTCGTAAATTATTATTATTATTATACATCCCTAGCAAAAAATAATAATAATAAAAATTTATTTTTATTTTTATATTTCAAACTTTTGCCGCCGCGTTCGTTAATAAATTCACTTATTAATCGTTAAAAATAATGTGAGGGGAGGGAAAAAAAACAGGGAGGGAAACTTTTCCCTGCCACCATTTTTTTTTCTTTTTTAATAAACTTTATGAGAGTAAAAAATTACTGATAATAATAATAATAATAATTTCGTTATTGATTTATTTATTTATTAAAAGTGATACACGTGATAAGATATTTTCATTTTGAAAATTTTTCTAGAATGATTCACGAGTTTAATAATATATGTATGTATATCAACATTCTCACGCAGGTTCACACACACAAATAAATAAGTTTACATAAATAAAAAAAAATAACATTGAAATAATAATAATAATAAATAAATAAATAAATAAACACCCTAATTTTGTTTGACCTACAAAACGAAAAAAAAAGACTTTGACCACTAAATCACAATTTATAACCCTTAAAAAAAAACGTCTTTGTTTACGTTATTTATTTATGAATCATAATAACATTTTGAAAATATTAATAATAATAATTTAAATTCATTAATAATAATAATAATAATTTTGGCAAAAAAATTTTTTTTTTTTTTGCACCTTAAAAAAACCAAGACGGAGTACGAATGCTAAACGACATATAAACAATAAATAAATACCTGAAACCTTTATTATTATTATTATTATATATTGTTATTATTATTATTATATATTATTATTATCATTATTATTATTATGGTCACTCTTAAAGACGACAAGGCTCTTATTTGTCGGGGTTTTTAAGCATTTATTCCAGGTTTCTACCCGATTCCTTAGGGACAAATACTCGAATTTCGGTTATTATTATTATTATTATTATTATTATTATTATTAATATTATTATCGTTACAAAAAAAACAAATTTCACCCACCTTACGAGCATGTGAAAAAAAAACTTTTAATCAAGAATTATTTCAATATCGATAATTATTATTATCATTATTTATAAAAGTAAAATAATAAAAAAAAAGGTAAATATACGATTTTTTGAAAAAAAAAAAAAAGAAAACAAAAACAAATAATAATAATAATAATAATAATAATAATAATAATGATGACGTTTCATATGATAATAAAAACAAAAATTTATTCAGTGTATATACGTACGACGTAAATATAATAATAATAATAATTACGGGAGCGATAATTAAGTAAGGTATGAATGACACAAAAATTAAGGTATGCGATTAAGGTATGAAAACACTTTATATATATATATATGATCCAAATGATATGCGTAAAAAAAAGCTTAAATGATATCAGTAATAATAATAATAATAATAATAAAGTGTAAAATTAGTTTTTTTAGGTAAATTTTGACTAAAATTTAATGCAATTTTTCGCAACGTCTCATTAACCGAAAAACCAATAATAATAATAATAATAGTAATAATAAATTAATAAATTTCGATAAGATATTAACGTGAAAAAATTTTTTTTTTTAATTTTAATTTTTTAAATAAAAATAAACAATAGCAAGCAGACGAAATAAATAATAATAATAATAATAAATTAAAAAGGGAACAAATATGTAGAGAATTTTTTTTTTTTTTCATTACGAAAATTTTTTAATATGGCGGAACGACTATAAATTATTATTATCTATAAAAAATTAATCACGTTTTTTCCTAACGAAAAGATGACCTAAAAAAATTTTCATCTGTACAATATATATATATGACGTCATAAAAATTATTTGTCCAGGTGTGTGAAAATAATAATAATAATTAAAAATTTTTTAGATAACTTTCGTATTCATCGGGAATTTTAAATTTTTTATAATAAAAATGTTTTGAATTTTTTTGTTTACCCACAATAATTTATGATAATAATAATTTTTTACGGTGATAATCGCAAACTCTAATAAATAATATATTTACCGATGAGAATGGGTAAACAACAGCAAAAAAATTTGCAGGTGCGACAAAGTTTACTGTTGTACCTGATTTCACTGTTTACATTATAACTCTCCGAGATTGCGGTTGTTGTTGTTAAAATCGAGCAAACAAACGGGAAAAAAAAAATTCAACCTCACCTCCCTGCCTCCCCTCCCCTCGCATCGCTTCCCGTTTATTTTCATTTCAATAGGTAAATAATAATAATAATAATATTAATAATAATAATAATAATAATAATAATATTAATAATAATAATAATAATAATAATAATATTAATAATAATAATAATAATAATAATAATATTAATAATAATAATAATAATAATAATAATAATAATAAGCCAACGGCCATAGCGTGCTGGTCACACCGGTTCCCGTACGATCACCGAAGTTAAGCAGCATCGGGCGTGGTGCAAACTTGGATGGGTGACCGTTTGAGAACGCCACGTGCTGTTGGCTTAAAAAGAGCAAAAAAATGAGAACAAGACAAAGTAAGAACCAAAAACAAAAATCTTGTTCTACTGTCGACCTGAGGCAGCTCGACGAGAACGTGAATTTCACTGCTTCTGACCCTGGCCACTCCAAAGATGTTAGTCACCGGAGCCCAGTTCAGGAGACAAATCGTTCCCATCGAAAAAGACGGACTCAGGAAGACCTTCAAGAATTGATGTGGTGCTATCTTATAATAAGTGGTACCACCGAAATTCGAGTATTTGTCCCTAAGGAATCGGGTAGAAACCTCGGATAAATACTTAAAAAAAACTCCGACAAGTAGCCTTGTCGTGTTTAATGGTGAACAAAAATAATAATAATATTAATATTAATAATAATAATATTAATAATAATAATAATAATATTAATAATAATAATAATAATAATAATAATAATAATAATTTTTGAAATGTTATGAATGCTTTAGTAAAATTAATTAATTAATAACGAAACCAATTAATTATTAAGAACCGTAGAAAAATTCATTCATCATCATTATTATTTTCTTTATTTTTTTTGTATGATAAAAAATATTCCGAGGTTTTTGCAAAATCAATAAATTCATAAACAAGGGGAGGGGAGGGGGAAGGGAAGGAAAGGAGAAAAGAAAATTAGTTACATAAGTTTTTGTCAACATCAATTCCATCATCATCATTATTTTTTTTTTTATTACTTGTCAAGACCAATAATATCCAATAAAATTTATTAATAATAATAATAATAATATATTTTTTTATTCTTCTCTTTTTATGTATGTATATGTGTATGGTGGTGGATTTCTGTTGATAAAAGATCTCTCGCAAAATCCATACTAAACAAAGACTGACAAATATTTAAATATTTATGTTAGCCTAATGTTTAATATGTATTTTGCGGATCACGTTGAAAAAATTGTCGTGGAAGAAGAATTTTCCCTTGGCGAACACATTTTCATTTTCTTCTTCTTTTCTTTTTTAATTTAATATAATCATCATCATCATCCTTTT